AATGCACATAAAAAAGAAGGAGAGGAAGAGAAAGCGGGCATGTTCTGTGAAAATATGTGCGTGCGTGAGTCCACTTTGGATGCGAACGAGTGGAAAAGCGGAAAAAAGAGTGGCGTAGATTGCTGACGTAATGCTTCCAAACTGTTTCCATATAGAAGGCCTGGACCAGGCGCCAGGCAGCCCCTCAGCATACGTCTGGTACCCATCAGCCACTGTGAGAGGGAGGACACACACGCTATCATTCACCCACACATGCATGCTAACACATATGCAGCACATGTTAATGCACATATTGTTCACAGATGTAATGTTTAACTGTCACTACTATTTGCTGTCTGCATAAAACATGTAAAAACGTATCTATGCACACATAGAGGGACAAGGAGCAGACATTAATAAAAGCACGCACAAAACAAAGTAGATCCTTCCATATGACCCACAAGAGGTCTGTGGACATGACTGATGATGATGTAGATTTGCATTAAAGAGTTCAAACTTTGCTCTCTATCCCATCATCATAAAACCAAAGATGGAAAAAGTTGTGGTGAGTTGCGAGAGCCTTCAGGAATCCATTTCTACTGTATTACTTCACACTAATATCCTACTTTGAGTGGTTATTTAAACAAAAACAAAAAAAGCACCACTGTTTGTGCTTTACACATAAACTTCCTATCCTGAGATGCTAACCAGAGTGCTCTGATTGTTCTTTGCTATGTGGTTTGACTTTGGTCACAGAGAGTATAAACGGTCCTGGGTTGTCATGTACTGTTTAAACATGATATCCTGCATATTGTGAAAAACACAATTTGACTCACAACTATTTATATAATTGTGATGTAGACTAAAATCACTGGTGCTTACTGTGCAGTCATTATGTCTCTGTCATGACCAGGAGCTTCTGTGTCACCACACAAATCAACACAACTTACAAAACCGGTTGGGTTTGCCCTCATATAAATATATATGTGTGTGTGTGTGTGTGTGTGTGTAAAAACATCTCATGCATGCATAAGATATCGGTCTAACATCCAAAGAATGCGTACACTCATCAGCCACTTTATTGGGTACACCTATTCAACTGTTTGTTACCTCTAATATCTATGCTTTAAACTTGGTATGGTTGTTGGTGCCAGGCGGCTGGTATACTTTAGTGGTATTTAACTACACAACAATTGCTAAGCTTTACAGAGAATGGTCAGAAAAGGAGAAAATATCCAGTGAGGAACAGTTCTCTCTCTCTCTGTGTCAGTCTCTGTGGCAACATTCGGATAGGAGGGTCAGGATTTGGTGTAAATATGAAAACACGGACCCACCCAGCTTTGTATCAACTGTTCAGGCTAGTAGTGGTGTTTGCTTGACCCGTTGACTAGTTTGGGCTCCTTAGTACCAACTGAGCATCATTTAAACATCACAGCCTACCTGAGTATTGTTACTGGCCCCTTTATGACCACAGTGCAGACACCTGCTGACGGCTCCTTCCTGCGTAACACACCATGTCACAAAAGCTCAAATCATCTCAAACCTTCTTCTTGAACATGTCAATGAGTTCACTGTATTCAACAGTGAACTCCTGCACCTTTGGGATGTGGTGGAATGGGATTTGCATTATGGATGTAGAGCCAACAAATCTGCATCAGCTGTGATGACAGTATGGACCGAAATCTCTAAGTACTGTTTCCAGCACCTTGTTGAGTCTGTGCCACGAAGAACTAAGAATTGAGGGCAAACTAGTGCTACAAAGGCATACCTAATAAAGTTTCATATGCACACTTTTATCCGACACCTAGACACACACACACACACGCTCACTTTCTATCCACATGCACATTATTTGCATTCTTTCCAGCTGCCTGTCTGGCCTTGACCCTCCCATATATTTGTTTTACTAAACAATCTGCAAAGTAAAGAAGCGCTCAGGGCTATTAAAATATAAATGAAAAATAAATAAATAAAGAAACAGCAGAGAAATTACCACGAAAAAAGGAATTGCTCTGAAAGCTATTTCAGGACATTGCACACTCGCAACAGGAAACCTGCAAAGAAGTGCAGACTACAGCAGAACAGAAAAGAGACTGTAGACAAGGCAGGTTACCCGAGATGCAGATCCGTATATAATACGAGCTGAGGGCACCTTGAAAAACAAACGCACACACATATACGCATCTAGAGGGCGCATATTGTAAAGGGATTATCTGTTGTGATCCAAGTAATAAATATGCACACCAGCGTGGCAAGTAGGATGAAAGTGAGTAAATGGGATTTTACTGTGTATTTCATAGCCACGGTGGTCTTGTCAGGGGGAATTCCCATGATGGCAATAAAAGAGAGACACACTCAGAGAAGAAAAGCAGAGGGACTCAGCTGGAGATGGTGGTAATGTCATTACCTCTGCCTGTCTCTTATTGGACACGCTCATTAAGGCAGCATTGTGCTGAAGGCTAAGGGCCATCTGGTTTTGCATGTTGTTTGTGTGTTTGGACACGCTGAAAGGATTTGTTCCATCTTCTTCGCTCCTCCTCACCTCACTCATTTCCCCATTAGTTGTTTGGGCTAGACCAGATCAAATCCTGGGGCTTTAGGAGGGATGTCTTGTTTGCAGGAGAGATGTTGTTTGATTGCACAAGGTGGAATTCCACCATGACATCATGAAACCAAAACTGCTTTTGTAGTGAAACCCCCACCGATGGAGCTCGATGAATGCCCCCCATGGATTCGGATGTTTTTTGTAACATACGTGTACACTGTATTCTCTTGGGGCAAATGCCTCTCTTTGTCTTTTTCTTTCTCACACAAACACACCACTACCTCATCTCAGTGTCTCATCCCCTAGAGGTAAGCGATGTTCAAACACATCACATCATTGGTAAACACCGCACCCTTGCCAGTCAGCCTCCCTTACTCGTGTGCTCAAAGAAACAGAGGGATAAGGAAGAGGCTGAGGAGGAAACGAGCCGGAAAAGACCTGTGAACCTGTCGTGTGTGTGTGTGTGTGTGCTCTGAGTAAAAAAGAGGAAGCAAAGCCGTAACCAGACAGTGAGTCAATCAGGAAAACGGGGAAGAACAGGGTGATGTTTTTTAGAGGCATAACATGCCCCTTTCCTGTTCTCAGACACACATGTACACTCACCAAGCACTTTATATAGCACTTGTGCAATCCAACACAACAGCTGTTTCAAGGCTTCCACATTTACAGCAGTGACAAAATATTAGGGAATCTTTTTTTTTTACAGCTCAGATTGCAGTTGTGCCACCACTTTTGTGTTTATTGTCAACTGAAGCTGAAAACAAGTTTCGTAAAAGTAGAATTTGTGGTGCAGCTGTTTTGTTTGGTTGCATTAGATTGCACAAGTGTTTCTAGTTAAGGCTCAGGGAGTGCATATAAGGTGTGCTTTAGGTCGCCACGTGGTGAAAAAAATCTCTGATGGAGGCACCTAAACGTTACCTTGGTGTGAATTCATCCGTTAACTACTGGTGAGAAAAACTAAAAAGACATTTATGCAATTAAACAATGTATATCTGTTAATTGTTTTGTACTTCAGTGTGAAATGTTTTACATTCACGCCTATTTCTTACTTGGACAACAAGACTGGCACTGCTCTCATGTCTTTATAAACCCATAGCTAGCAACCTGCACCTTAGGAACTGGAAACAAAGAAACAGCGAGCTCTGTCCAGCTCTAATAAAATCCCTGTTTTTCCTTTATTTATCTATTACTCCTTATTCTTCAAATGAAACCATGGAATATGCTTAGCTGTGATTTTTTTAAGTGCTGAGGGTGGTTGAGGGTGTTGTCAGGCTATTTGGTTCCCTCTGTTTCCTGTCTGTAAGCTAAACTAAGCTAGCTGGATGTCCTTACAACAGATGACACTCAGCACACGTCCTCTCTTCTTGGCCAGAACAAAGCTTGTTGCTGGGCTGTGAGGGTGCATAAAGTATACTGTACAACCAGTGGCTAACAAATTTATTAGACCATCACCCAATGTTTGTGCTGCAGCTGCCCTAAATTAACAGCAGTGGGAATTACCAAATTCATGTTTTAAATTATTCTGTAACTAGTAATCCACCCATATGTGGATGCGCTTTAATCCAAGGGATATTTCTAAAAATATAATTACTGGCAGCACGGTACAGATATTTACTTTCAATCTAGAACGTGACTTTTTTTTAAATGACAAGTGACATAATAAACTTGCTAAGAACTGGAAATATGACTATGTATTAAAAATCCAAAGTTATTTGGATTTGTCAACTTTTGTTTTACCTGGGACTGCTTTGATGTTTTGGTTGTTTTTTTGGATTGTTGTCCTACGTTTGAGCTTTACTATCTGTAAATCCATTACCCTTATTTGGACTCATTAAAATAACGTGTTTTGTATATGAAAAGCTGTAAATAAAATAATATGTCCCCTCCGTGCAAAACTGCGATTAGTACAAGCTGCTAAATCTGCTGTCAGAGATCGGACATCCAAATACTTTAGGGACTTAAGACATCCTTCCTTCTAAGTTATCTTGAGCCACGTTGTGAGAGTCAACATTTATATAGCAACAGTACCAGATATTTACCCTAAAAAAAGTTGAAAGACCTAGCTCAAATAATTTTCTAGATAATTAAAAAAGCCATCTGACACCCCTACTTTCATTCACTGTAATATACTCTTCTTTTTTTGAAAGTAGGAACCTGAAATGTTGCTTAATTCTTATTAAGACATGTCTCTTTTCTCTTGTTCTCTTCAAATTAGTCTTTGCATTTAATAATTCACAACCCTACCAGCATATGCAACCATGTGCCACCGGCACTGACGGAGAACAAGAGGAAGAAAAAAATCAATGAAGCCCTGTTGTGTGGTCAGAGACGAGTTTGTTAAACAGAAAATCAATACTGAGCCTCTGCATCTTTGGATGTCGTAATGTGTTGTTAATCTGTTGGTGGAATTCCCTCCCCAGCCCTGATCGCACACAATGTAAACACACAAAGAAGAAGAAGAAGAAGCAGAGAGGAGTTTGTATTTTGTCATTTCTGTATTTTTGTCTCATTTTCACAAAAACATGAACAGGGGAAGGAAAAGCCTTTCAGTAGAACCTGAGGTATTTTTGCATCAAGCAGCCTAAGGTATCAGGATTTTCTTTTAAAAACTCATCTAAATTCATCAGTGTTCTTAGATGCGTTGCTATTTACACAACAACATAGTAATAATAATAATAATAATAATAATAACAATAATAATAATAATAATTTTAGCAAATGGGACAGCCTGCATCATCCTTGTTACATGTCATAAATAATTCTAACAACAGTTTTTTAAAAAAATATAAGGAGGGAGGTGAGGAAAAGAAAGGTTGCTTGAGCCCCGGGGGAAACATAGGAATCTATCTGAACTTACTGTAGTTGCAGCAGCATAAGGTCAAAAGTCAGAGATTGCCAAAGAGTAAAGCTAATCAAGGGTCAAAGGAAAAATAAACACATTTACATCATAAATAAATAACCATCTCGCACCAGGAGAGCATTCATGTCTTTCACCTCAGGATACGAAGATCCTCACTTTTTTCCTTTCCATTTTGTTACTGGTGTTTTTAATCAAAGCTTTGGAAAATAAGAAATAAGAAAACAAAAAACAGACAGAAAGAAAAGCTAAGGAGCTTTATGGACATGCATTGTGCTGATGTACCAGCAGCTGTGTACCCTGTGTCGGGCTTGGCTCACTGAAAGATCCCCTGAGAATGAACAAAAGGGTGTGTGTGTGTGTAAGGGAGGGGAGCTAGGCTTTACATGTGTGAGTATAAGGGCATACAGTGTGAGGTGTGTGTGTGTGTCTTGGTTTCAGCTTTGGTGGATGCACTGTGATGATGACTGATAAACATGTGCTGGCTCAGGGAGGACGCTCAGCCTTTAAATCTCAAACTTGTGAAAGATTGCGTCTGTTTGCATATAGCTGTTGTTATGCAAGCCCTCATGAAACTGGCAGAGGATGTTTCACTGTGTGTGAGTGATCAGAGATTGCATGGCTACTCTGTCTCCCTCTTCACACAGACAAACAAAACAGTCTTTTTAGGTAACGCTTAAGCCCTCAATTGAAATCAACGAGGTCACGCTGCAGATGAGCGAGAACAGCAGTGCTGTCCTTAAAAGATATTAGAGGGGAGTGTGTGTCATCTTCTAAGTACAAAAAAAAAAAAAAAGAGTCAAAACTTGGCTTTAGGAGTATCATGTTGCAAGGATGCGAAAGATAATTTGACTAATTGTTACCAGAAAAGCAGAAAAGTGCATCTCAGGATCATACATCACTCTCCCCAAAGAAGGAACATCACATATTGCTTTGCTTGAATTTGTTGAATGTGTGTATTCGTTTGAGTGTGTGTTCATAAATACCATACAGCAAATAATAATAATAATTATAATTCAACAAAAGAAAAAAGAAATAAATCCACAAAACATTATATTATTTCTCATTACCAGAATGAACCAATACAATAAATTAAAACTATAACTAAACAGAAGTCCATTAAAATTGCTATATATATTCATATTGTATATATAGTATTCGTCTGTCTGTAGTCAGCCTCTCAGGTGCATGCTCAGTGGCGACCATAGGTGGTGACTGGAAGGAGTGGGAGGAGGCTCAGAGGGGGTCTAATAGCGAGCTGAGGGGTTATTAACGCATACCCTCATCAGCATCCTGAAACCTCAGTCCCATCACGCTGTTAACACTGGAAACAAGGGAACAAAGTCAGGAAAGGCGCACTGTGCTTTAGGAGGGGAAAACACTGCCCATTCTTCAAATAGTCTTTCATCAACAAAATGCAGAGGATCCTTCATTGTCAGGGTGCAGTACCGCCTTAATATTAAGTCCTTTGGGTCTCTCTGCCTTGTGCTGTGGCGATGTGAGGATATGGTGCTGTTAAGGAGTCCTTTATTGTTTTCCCTGTAGTAGGCAGAGCCACTGGGAAGGGGGACAAACGTAGCCGTGCGAGCTTATGAGGCTTATCGAAACCGGGGTGAAGCGTCGGGAGAGAGAACATCAGGCTTGGCTCAAATCACAAGCTATACACCCACTGAAACACGCTACGTTTGACCACAGGCAAGCAGTTTGTGTCTCAACTCTGTCAAAATAAGGGAAGAATTCTATATATTAAGGATGCAACATTTGCCCTGGGTTGTTTCATTTTGTCTGGGACAGAGCTCATAAACATAAAGAGTTCAGTACCTAGATTTGTCCTCTTTACCTCCCTCCCCCCCCCAAGATTTTTCTTCATTTTTGTACAAGAGTTCAGGATGGTTATGGTCTGCTAAGCACCACATCTGAGGCTCTGTCTGTCCAGGTGCGGATGCTAACCTTTTCACATTAACGCTCAGCTTGCATTTGTCCTTCTCTCAACTAGAGTCTTTAACACTGTCTGTAAGGGGAGCTTAAAAAACCCCAATAACAACTCCTCGGCTCCACCTTGAATGTCCTCTTCCTGTGCTCCCTCTAACTAGGTCCATTTTTGCCCCCAAGGGGCAGCTCTGATGATGTCCATTATCTGTCAGGATACCTCTATGATCTCCATGCTCCCAGAGAAGCTTGACTGCTTCCCAATTTTCCCCAGTTCTTCCCTGGACCTTGTCTCGGAGATGCCCTCCTCAAACTCCATCTGACAGCTGCGCCGCTTGAACTGCTTTTCAGATGCAGCCCCACTGTGACTCGAGCTGGTGGACATTGTCACTGCTGAAGACGACGAAGAGTCTCGGAGGTCTCGCTGCGTCTGTGGTGCTGACGGCTTCTCCCTCTGGGATTTGTCTCGTAACCGCACACCTTCGCTACACCCAAATGCCACATACGCCGAGCTGCTACCGAACCTCACCGATGATTCCTGTCCCCCTACCTCTCCTGCTCCCAGCTCCATCTCTCCCTGACCACCTTCCTCTGCTCCAAAGTGCCAGGGAGCATCTGCAGTCGGGGTGACTGGAGTGACGGGGGTTGTGGCTTGGACAGTGTCTCTGTGTTTGGTCCACATAGCCCCAGAACCCACAGTGGGCAGGGAAGGTAATGAGAGGAGCAGGGAGCCCTTTAGGTTTTCTTCCAGGCTGGGGCTCTTGTGGTCCAGCAGCAAGTTGAGGGACTGCGGAGGCTGGCGTGGTTGGGAGTGGATCGGCGAACTGCTGCAGTTTTGTTTGGTTTTTCTTCTGGGTCTGGATGAGGAAGAACCAGAACGATGGACTCCTTCACTTCCACTGAATCCCAAGCCTCCTATGCTGCCCCCACTGCCCGGTGAGGGGAATGGTGAATCAGAGGAGCTGGGGCTGTCAAGGACGGGAGACTGAGAACAGACACCATTGGAGATGCCTGTTCCTGGGCTGTCAAGCTTGCACAGCTTGGGGACGTCTTCAGAGTGTGTGGGTGCCAGGTTGGGGCAGTGGGGACTGTTAGGGGAATAGACAGACTTAATGTCTAGGGAGAAGGAGCGTTTGAGTCGATTAGTGTCCATGATCCTCTCTGCAGAGAGGTGCAGGCCATTGAAGCCTTGCTGGAGAGAGGTGGGTGACGACAGCTTGGGTTCCAGTGGGATGCGTGGCTCTGTGGTGGATGAGTCACAGTTGCTATGATGACCATTCATCTCGAAACCTGTGATGACTCCGTTAACCTCTGAATTCTGCTTAGTGTTGTTTTCAGATTTCTTGTCATCGGAGGTTAAAGCTTGGAGTAATCGCAGGCCCTTCTCAAACTCCAGCAACTGACCCAGGAAGTTAAAGTTGGGGGATATGGACGGTCTTCTGTCCTTTACGAATCTGTCAGCAGAAAAAATAAAAAGTTTGAAAAAAATAGGACACAACTAAGCAATTGTATTCTGAAGTGCGGTAATGGTTTTATAATAAATCACATCTGAATTCCTAAGATTAAATAAATGACCTATATAAAGGGTGTGAGCCCTTTTACTGATTCACAATACATAATAGTGTGCCAGACTTGTCCTGACAGGGCAAAGCTAAGCCTTTTGTATAAACTACGCTTGCTGGCAGGGAGCTAAGAATTAGATTCCACCTGACAACAATGGGATGTCTTTCTACTGGTACTGACACCTTAGCTCAGCTGTTAATGGGTGGGAAGTGCAGGTGTACCTGTAGGCATCATCTGATGATAGGCCCATTGTCTTCATGATGTATGCTATGGCGATGGTTGCTGAACGTGAGATTCCAGCCAGGCAGTGCACAATGACTCTGCAGTTTGATACCTTAGCTTTGTCTGTTGATAGGTGGAAACAAATAAGTATGAATGTATAGAACTATATGAAAATACATGCAACACTGCATACCACTGACAGGTCTCCTTTTTAGTAGGAAGACTCGGGAGAAAATCAGTGTCTACTGAATAAAAACAGACATATCCTGAAAGAGTACAAGGGTTCATCTAAGCAGACAGTTTACCTGTGCATGGTTACATAAAAGAATATCACTGCATTCTTTGATGCATAATTTGAGATTAATTCACTTCCTCATCTCCACATGTCCTTCAAGCCAAACACAAAACACAGAACACGCCCTTACCTATGAATTCGTTGGTTTTGTCCAGCCATGGAAGTAATTTCTCACAGTAGTTGTCATTTACTGGGATGCGCATGAAATGGCTTTCGCTGATAAAGTCTGGCTTGGGGCAGGTGTTGCTGGCATTCAGCACATAGGTGATGCCATTCTGAGCCATCAGATCCTGCAGAGAGGGACATGTACGTGGTTTAGCATCATGCTTTATTGCGAGTAAGAGCAAGTCAGACATTCTTTACTGGCAAAATATCCAAAATAAATGATACCTTATTGAGGACGTCTTTTTGTGATCCCAAATAGAGGTGAGGCAGGATGCGAGTAGGCCCTACGTTAGCTACAGGCAAGCAGGGCTGGGACAAGCTCATAGGTAGAGCAGTGGCGGGCTTCCCTTCACACAGGCCGGGGTAACAGGAGGAAAAAGCTGCAAAGCCTCCTGCAGGGAAAGAAGAGATGGAGAGAAGCGGTTAGGCATATGAATGGTTTTCCATTTAGACACACACGAACACACACGCACTGGGAACTCTGCAAAGACTTCCATCACGAACACCGCACCATCATTAGCAGACGCTCAGTAGTCTTTAAAAGGTGAATCTGGGCTACAATGTCTGGGTCCCTTTAGAGCAGCAGGAGCTGGAAAAAAAGGGGCTCTCTGTGCTTCTGTGAGTGAGTTAGGTTAACTGCTGGGTGGCCAGGAATGCGCGTCTGGCCCTTTAAGAGGCAGGCGGCTCCACTTTTGGCATATGTGTATGCGTGCGTGTGTGTGGCTCCGTTTCCTGCATGAGCTCATGTCCTGTAGCAGAGCATTGCGTCAGGCTGAGGGAATGAGAGAGGCCACAGGTGCAGGGCCAGGACAGAGGCCCAGTAACATCTCCACTGACAGCTGAAAAGCACACACACACTAATGCATGGTCAAACGCACACCCACACACACACGACAGAAGACGAAGAAGATATGATCTGAAGAAATGATCTCATACTGTTGCGGTCAATATATCCCAATATTCACTCTCACTGACATTAACACACTCTCCACTCAATTCACACACACACACACACACACACACACACACACACACACACACACACACAAGTACCCATACTCATTAATAGTCTGTAGTACTGCAGTTGTACAACTACAGGGAGGGGGACAAGGAAAAGAGGTAGGGGTCTTCTTTGGGTGCTGACCTCGCTGAGGAGTGTGGAGAGGAGAGGGAGTGCTTCAAGGAAACCTTGAGTCCCAGAAAGACGATTAGAGCCTAATCTAGGTTCAGCCTTCCCTGACCCAATCCTGGATGCAGTGCATGCACACACCTTAACACACACACATACATACACATTCACGTAGTGAGAGTGAGAGAGACATGACATCACTATCCCCAAGTAGCACACACAGCACAGTGCAAGCAGGACGCTGCCTTCCCCTGTAACACACACCCAGCTGCCCTACTCGAGTAACAACAACTGGCAAACAAACAGACGCACACATGTGGAGCACACAGTTTCATGTGCGTGCACCCAACAAACAGGAGAGCTGCATAAAAAGGTTGTGCAAATCCACAGAAGATAGCAGCTTTTGGTATGTGGTGCTATTTCACAACAGCACAGCTTTTGAGCGGTGAGTAGGCTGGGTGCATCCCGATGACCTAGTGCTATTCTGGGTGCAATGTTCCTTTAAGAGCAAAGTGAAGAAGGCCTGCCTGTTTCCAGCTATTAATGGCAACCAGCGGAGCGATGACATCAACAGTCCACATGGGTGGTGGAGTGTAGAGAGGCATTTGATGCAGAAAGAGCAATCGGATAACTTTCAAGAGGAGGCTGAGGGATTGCTGCCATTATGGCAACAACTCTATGATCAAACCTTTTCTTGGCCTATTCAGCGTAGACTAAACAGACAGAGTGTGGAGTTCACACTAGACTGTTTCTCAATAGCTTCTCCCCTTGCAGCAAGCCTACGGGCAGTGCTACAGCACTGATAATTGATAAAGCAGAGGGAGGAAGGGATCTCTGAAGAGTTTCTTTCCTGGTTTCCTAGTTCCCATGCTGCTGGTGTGGAAAAAAAAAATTGCACTACATATAGCATATACTGTATCTGTGTGAGGGAGTGGTATGTTCCTGGAGACAGTCGGATCAACAGGAATAGCTACATCACACAGCAAGCATTTCCTTTTGTATGTGCTTACATTGTTAGAGAGTTGTTAGAAGGACTGAAGACAGGACATTCCACACGGTCTGTGTGTTTATGTGTGTGTGTGGGTGTGCAGGGAAATGAACACACGAACAGAAATATTCTGAATTGACTGAACTGATAATTGTAGTCCCGACTAGTGTAGCATGCCTAATCTCGTGTTAAATAAACACAAAAAAAAAGCACAAAGTTGGGCCAGTTAGAGTTTGCCTATGAGTGAGTAAGGGGTTACTGGCATAAAGGGTGACTGAAGTCAGAGATAAGAAAGCAGGACTGAGTGTGCCTTCTGGCTTTTCGAGTGCTATTACAGCGACATTACGTCAACACAATTACAAACACCTTCCTTGTAGTCAAAGCTTTACACGGTTGGTGCTAATGGACATTAGTCACACAGGAGATAGCGTGTTATTGCCACCTCGTCACCTGACCTTGCTCTACTTAGGGTTGCCAAGACAACAAGGAAAAGCAGTGTTGTTGATGACAATTTGCTTCCCCTCACCGACACCACCCTGCTCCAAATACTGGTAAGAAACAAGGGTATATGAGCACACTGATTTACGCACACATACACCAAAAAACCTAAAAGATGTGGCCTCACATTCTCCATTAGAAAAGGATGACACATCCGTTCATTCCTATCTAAGCACACATATAAACATACTGTACACTCACACTGAGGTCACTGAAAATACCCTGTGACACACACCAGCCCAGCTGTCTGTGAAGATGACATCAGAAAGTCAAATGGGAGAGATGAGTTCACCTTCATGATAATCAGCAGAAACTGACACCCTGCATTAAACTCACGAGTTAAATTTCCCACAGACATACCAACCTAAACCTACAGTTTTGTTTTTGTGGAATAAAAACCAGAGCTTCTCACATTATTGTTCAAACACTGAAATCATGAAACCATACTCTGGCAGGATGTGACTAAATTCTGAACATACTCTTTAAAAGAAGAAAAGAAAAGAAAAAAGAAAAAAAAAAGCAGTTTGGGGAGTAGGAAAACCCACAACCGGGAAAGAGGGCACTGTGTCGCCATCGGCAGCTCTCAGCAGTGGTGACTTCCTTTTTCCGTTTTTCTCTGCCCACTTCATCATTTAAGCAACTGCTTATTTTCCTCTCTCTTGCTCCGTCAGAGGCGAGCACTCAGGCCTTTCTTTGTTTGCCGGCAGCGAGCAGCAGTCCCTCTCCTCTCCCACATCTAAATTAATACCCAGCTTTCAGTATGAAGGCATGGGCTATTGTTTCGCTAACGTGAAAAGTGTGTATGTTAAGCAGATCAAATTCAGACTCTTCAGAGCTGTGCTGCTGCAGAAAACTAAAAGATGAATGGAGGGTGGAATAAGCGAATGAACAGAGGCACACAAAACACCTGCCTAGAAGTTATGGTTTAATGGGATCTCTGCTATTACATCACTGCTGTTCGTACAATTGACTTCCTTGCCAACACAAGCTCGCCCCCTTTCTGTGTGTGTGTGTGTGTGTGTGTGTGCTTCAGCCTCCGTTTTACTCTTTTACTTGTCTGTTAATGGAGTAGGGGGGGCAATACACAAAGCAGACGTGTTCATGCACACAGACAAGCTTTCAGGCCCAGGGGGTGGGGGGGCATTGAACGACTACCCCACTCCCCCTCCATCATTTTTCTCTTTGGCTGATATCAGGGGAGACATGACGCCATCCTCTGTGCCCCTCCAGCTGTCCCCTCCACTATGAGGGGACATTAGCATCTCAATGTACCCGCTCCCCACCTCACCCTCCTCACATGACATCATTGCACACATGTCCCACTTCAGCTCCACAAAGGCTGTGCTGGGGCCTGACGATGCAATGAAAGTGTGTGCGCTTGTGTGGGTTTTTGTGACAGGAATGTGTAGACTGACAGAACATGGATGAGATAGTAGGATGAGGTCATCGCTTTCATGCACAGCATCGGCTTTATGATGGCTGCGAATGAGAGCACGATATTTACGTCATATTAGCTGACGGTTAAACTTCATTGCTCTTTATCTTCCTGGACAGATAGCAGGAATATTCCACTTTGATCAACTGCCGTTTCAGCAGCACCGTGTTACTGCAATAAAAGACCATAAACCACCATATAATTTAGCCTGCATTGACAAATCTATTTCCACAGAGATGTGTTAAAGTGCTCAGTACCTGTGACACATATAATTCTATTTTCATCTGCTGATGGCAAATGTGTGATCCCCCACCCATCCCAGCTTTCTCTGAGTACATGAATTTGACACTTACAGCAGCAGAATCTGGTTGTGTAGATATAACCCGTACATGCACATGTGCACATGTGAAGAGTGACAGGTGCAGATAACTGCTTTGAGCCGGTGCTCTAAAATGCCCCGTGTGTACCGTCTAAATAGACGTACATCTGTTATCCAAAAGGTTCAACTACAAAACGAGCAAATTAATTTGAGCAAATGACGAGCTAAAGACATATTTTGTGCAACGTGCACGATGCCGTATTGTCGTATAAAAAGGATTTTTCCATTGCTCTGCATTGCCTCATTGCTCTGTGTGAAAAGGTGTTATGTTAAACACCTGCAGTGCACACTGCACACATATTGATAACATAATCTCCACAAGACACCATTCTGCAGAGAGAGCGAGTGAGCAGGAGCGAGAAAGAAAAGCCAAGAGCAGAGGAAAAGAAAGAGAGAAAGAAAGAGCCTTTGTGATAATTTTACATCTCAATGACCACAGGCTGAGAGAGCATGAGCACTATGTCATACCATGGGTCACAGCTCTCATCCGCTCCCCCACTAGCTCTTTTTCTCTCCTCTTTTCCCTCTTCATCGCTTCTCATCTTCATGATGTCATCTTCTTAATCCCCTTTCTTCCTATTCTATACCTCTAAACAAATTAAGTCCAAAAACAAAAGATGGGACAGCAACTCTCAGGTCTGGCTTGCTACGCCTAATAAATTCTTTTTTAGCCTGATGTAGAATCCCATCTCTCTAATAACTCTTAAAAATTCACTTCACTGCTATGTTTCGTTCGGATAAAGCTTGAAATGGTAAATACCTGACAGCCCACTGTGTGTACTCATCTGCAGCGCACAAACTATTATCAGTGGCTTTCCACCTTGTTCGCACCTTTTCTGCATGTATTCAGCAATCGTGCATTTCATAGCCATGCAACTCAATGCATATCATAAATCACATTCCATCTTCTGCATGTATGCCAAACGCACAGGACTTCAATCCAAACATGTTGCATCTTATCAC